AAGGACGGAGCAGCGGCGGCGGCGCGGCGCTGCCCGGCGCCAGGGGGTTGGGGGCGAGCCCTCGGAAGGGGGCGCGTGTGTCCTTGCGACGCAGGTTGCGTTGATCAGTAGCCCCTGCGCGCGGGGCTCGGGAGAGGTGGGGCGAACAAAGTTAGAACCGCCGCCCCCTGGGACTGGAGCCCCGCGGAGGGAAGAGACACCTATTTCCCTTCCAGCAAATTCCCCGCGGGAGTGCTGCTCGTGGTCCCAGAGCGGCCACCTCCGTCCAGGGCTCACCTGGCGGGCGAGATCAGGTTCCCGGCCTGCTCGGGCTCTCTTTGCAGCTGTAGCGCAAGGATAGGAGAGGAACGCTGCAGGAAAGGGTGATGCACGAGATAAACCTTGGAGAGAAATGTGTGCAAAGCTTTCATGCGGTACCGTATGGCGTCATCTCAGGACAAAACAAAACAAAAATGAAATAATCAGTGTGCCTTACCCTTGACTCTAATTGCACGCGTAGAAACTGACTCCTGACACGTACAGAAGATGTTCTTTGCAAAGTTGGGTTAATAGCAGAAGGGAGACTGAGTAAGTAGGCTGGTGATTATATTACACCAACCGCACGGGTTTTTGTGCAGCCATTTAAATGGCAATTGTGAAGATCGCAATAATATGGAAGAGTCTCCAAATTATCAAAGCGTAATAGCACAATAAAAAGTTGTATGTATGTATCCAAAAGTATCCAGCGCGATGAACACTGAGGGTAACAGCGTGGGGGATTTTTGAGTGCTTTGTTGAAGGCTGGTGTAACAGTAATGCCATTTTAAATGTTTAATAGTCTAATACGTTTTAATCCTAAATCAGTGTCAGTCGTTATTTCGAATGTATCGATGATGTCACTTCATGCTCCAGATGAAGTTACTACCTCCAAGAGCATCTCATCAGTCTGAGTACAACCCCTGCAACTAAAGTGATTCAAGTTATATAAAGTTCTAGAAGTCAGACTAGAAATTCATTCAACAAATGTTAAGTGACTACTGTGTGCCAGTGAACAAGACCCTTTTTAAATGCTTCTTTTACTAAAAAAGCTCTGAAGATACTATACTAATCAATGAGAAGAGTAGCTGCTACCACGCTTTAAGAGAGGGGATGGATAACAGCAGTGAACGTTAGCAAACTGATACAGACACTTTTGCCTTATTTTAATGGCAAACACTTGGTTCCCAATCACCCACTAACGTAATTTGTAGTTTGTTATTAGGTAAAAGTTAGGGGAGCAGGGGAGACTGCTTGTTGTGAAGGTCAAAGCAGTGCATTCGACCAGAAGAGACCCTGCAGAAAAATGTACACACGCTTGATATGCAGGGAAGACTCTGTTTAGGCTTGTCGGTGTGTAAGTGTAAATCTTATTGTTTAAAACAAAAGATCCAGATAAGAATAATGCTTTAAAACCGCCCATACTGTTAAGGAGAGCTAAACTTTCATTTAATTCCATTTTAGTGTTAGATACGTAGCATTGGCTTCACCGTAACAATTTTAGTCATGTTTTTGAGAAATAAGGAGGAATAACAATTCTTAGGGAAGTCACCCTTTTCTTTCTTCCTAAAATAGAAATCCACTTCCAATGTAAATTGTACCTACACATGTCACTAATGGGTAAGGGAATTGCAGAAAATATGTCAAAGACTTTTTAGTTCCTTATTTCTTCTAATTTGTTCCTGGTTGAAATGTGCACCTTTATCAAACCATTGGTTTAGGCGTCTGTCTCAAGTATACAAACTCCACCTATTTCATGTCGATAAAATCTCTTTTCCATGGATGCCACTAAATAGAACCTTCCAGTGAAAATGCTGTAACAACTCATTAAATAGCATTTTTTGAGCAAAAGTTTTCGGCTTATCGCATTTTAATCACTTAATGTTGCCCTCTTTGTGATGTATCCTAAACCAGAGGTAAAAATCGATGCCAGATTATAAGAACATTTAAAACCTTTTGTTTAAAACTTGTTTCTGTTTTCCAAGGCTAATGTTAAATCTGATGTGACTTTGCAAGCAAATGCTTACCATCTGTAGTTGGTATTTTTCTTCTGCTCCAGCCATTAATATCTTTTTTACATAAAAGAGTTGTCTCCAGTAATAAAAAATCTGTCTGAGGTAAGGTTATGTTAATAACGGTACTCCCGTGAAGCTATTTTTGTAGTATAAATTTCAAATTTAATACAGTTTATGCGCCATGGAAAAAGCAAACATCAGGCGCTCAGCAATTTCTACCCCTGCTGAAAATTCAACTTTCTTTAATGTTTAAAATATCATGATGAATTTAATATTTAGTTCTAACTTCCTCCAAATCAGCTTATAGCTGATGAAGCAGCCAAGCACAGCCCCCATGTACTTGCGGTTGTCAATCAGACCCTTCCTTCCCCATTTTCACTGATTTCCTGTCCCAGGTCCTCAAAGTAAGGTTCACTAAAAACCCTCATGGGCAGTCCTGTCCTGACATGGTTTAAGATTTAGATCACATTCCAGGCTATTTTCCATGACCCCTCCCCTGATCCCCTCCCTGTAGATCTGGTCCCCAGTGATGGAAGCTGAGGTTACATTCGAGACCTGTGTCTCTCCAGGTCTGGGCTCCCCTATGCCACTCTCCATGGCTCTTGCCTTCTCAGCCTCTACCTTGGTACACCAAGATGGTAGTCCTTACCCACACCCCCTTCTAACAGAATCTGCCCTCACCTATTGCTCTAACATAGTGTTCTGGGCTCCATTCCCACAGATACGGATTCAACAGGTTGTGGTGGGGCCCACGAATTTGCATTTCTAATGCTGCTGGTGGGGAGAACCCACTTTGAGAACCACTGCCTCACACCAGGGATGAACCTGGATGGCCCTGTTGTAGTGGTTGAGCTTGGCCTCAACTACCTGAGCCGAAGTGGCTGACCGAGAGGCCAATCACATTTCCTCTCCTTGGAACATGAAATAAGGACACTGGGACACTGAGTTAGCGGTGGGCAACTGGATTGAAAGGTCACAGAATTAGCCCCTGAGGAAGCCATGTTAAGTTCAAGTGGATAAACAAAAGAGGAAATGAGTGTGTAGAAAGATACTAAAAAGCAGACAGAGAGAAGTGGAGATAAGAGGCTTTATAACCCCAAAGAGAGAGACAAAGAGAGAGACTGTCTGATGGATTTCCTGCCCCACTCCTGGCCCAGGTGTGCCGTCTTCCAGTTCATTTCCAAGGGGTCTCACTGTGCAGAAAAAACAACTAAGCACCCCCCCTTACTTAGCAAGTTTAAGTAGGTCCCTATCCCTTGCATTTTGTCTCCACGTGGGATAACTTTTTATCTTTAGGCCTGTTCTAAGCTCTTCCCCCAAAACCCTTAATCATCTGCCTTGCTTCTGCCTGTGTTCCTCCGCAGAACTGAGTCTCACCTCCAACTCAGCTGGTGCCTGGGGTCCTATCACCGAGGGACAGCACTTCTAGAATCTAGAGTGGTCTAATACATATGGCTATGGTGCTCGTGAAACATGGCTAGTGTTGTGCTGCAGGTACAAAATGAATATTAAATTTTGAAGACAGTAAGGGGAAAAAGAAAGCAAAATATCAATATTTTTTATATTGATGGCATTGAAGTGATAATATTTGGGTTATATTGGGTTAAATAAAATAGAGCATTAAAGTTAATTTTCCCATTTCTTTTTACTGTTTTAAATATGGCTACTGGAAATTTCAAAACTCCAGATGTGACTTACTTTATACGTTAATCGGACAGTGATGATCTAGAAGATGATGACCATCTCATCCCAGCCTCCTTAATGTTTGCCACCAGCTGGATTCCTGTCACTGGGCTCTGTGCTCTGCCCAGCACCAGACTTTCCCTGCATCACTCTTTAAATCTTATCTTACCCACCCAGCTCTCCATCCAATTTCTACAGCTAACTCAGTTCAACAGCAACGATCTCACCCTAGTGAGAGTGGGAAAATAGCCTTCAAAAAGGTAATTTTAAGTTTTAAGCTGCATCCCCTGTACTAGTAAATGTGACCTTATTTGGAAATAGGGTGTTTGAAAATGTAACCAAGTTAAAATGAGGCCATTAGGGTGGGTCCTAACTCAGTGTGAGTAGTATCCTTATGATAAGAGGAAAATACCATATGAAGACAGAGACACACAGGAAGAATGTCCTGTAATGACAGAGACAGAGATTGGAGTGTGTAGCTGCAAGCCAAGGAATGCCAAGGATTGCTGGCCACTACCAGAAGCTGGGAAGAGACAAGAAAGGAATCTATCTACCCAGTGTCAGAGAAAGCATGATCTTGCCAACACCTTAATTTTAAACTTTTAGCCTTCAGAACTATGAGAATAAATTTAGGTTGTTTTCAGCCATCCTGTTTGTTATACTTTGTCACAGGAGCCCTAGGAAACTAATACAACCTCTAAGTCCCTTACGCACCCAATTATGTTACACACAATACAGGTAAAAAGGCACGCTGCATAGCTGATTTCATTATTTGTTGCATTTACAATACTGTGCTTCTTAAAAAATAGAAAATCCTGTAAATCTAGGCCATTTTTAGGCACCCATTTTCAAATGTCTTAAGTATGCAGACTGCCCTATTATATTGTGAATTCTGGGTTAAAAGAGAATATAATTTGAAGAGCTTGCATATTTTCCAAAGCCAATTTGGTGATTTAAGCATGGAAGTATTACAATTAAATGTTTGAAAAGTTATCTGTGGATGGTTTGCTGTAAGCTGATATCATGAAACAACACATCTTTTCAGGATGAGGTAGCAGCCCCAGCCCCGGGGGAAAGGGAGCAGGCACATCACTCAAATGCAACTACTTTGGACAACTGAGCAACATGAGGAGGCTCAAAAAAATAGTCATATCCAATCATCTTCAAAATAAAAACTGTAGTAGCTACAACACAATCCTCTAAGGGCAGGATGGGAGGAGATGTGGAAATACTTGTATGATGCAGTCTTCATGGGTAATGCACAGAATATGGGCCAAAATGAGATCAACATGGCTCACAAGCCAATGGGTCAATGTCAACCATTGCTTAAAAACCTTCAATGACTGCTCGTTGCCTTTAGCAGCCAATCCAAACAGCTTTAATGACATAAAGGAATGCCCATGATTTAAATATATAAGCTTTTAAAAAGCAGAAAACAAAAATATATGTGAAAAATGATCCCAATTTTTAAATAAATACACTTATGCATTCATTCAAAATGATAGTTACTAAGCGTATGCTAGCTGTTGAGCACTGTTCTTAGAGCTTGCAGTCTAGTGGAGGCAGACAACCAACAAGAAGACAATACATGAAACACAAAGGGTAGGACTGAATTATCTGTTGCTTTCTAGAATGCACTTTCAATGCTTAAGTCAAATCAGTCCCAGTGATTCTCCGAAGTTTAACTGAAATGTTAA